TGTATTATGTGACATTGAAATATTAAAGAGAGAGTTAAATCAAAACACAATCGTTCATTCTATCATTTATATATATTTATCATTCGAATTATCAGTTCTTATTAATTAATTAAAAAATCAAACCAAAATCACTCATTTTATTATTTTTATATATTCATTTTAATTATCAGTTCCTATTATTTATTAATTAAAAAAAGTTTATTTAGGCAATAATATGGTTCCGTTAGTGTATACATCATACCTTACGGATAAACTAGTTATCTGGCATGATGTATCTGTCACATCATGCCAGATAACAAGAATTTATTGGATATTACTATAGAAGCTTTACGTAAAGCTAATTTAGATAGCAAAAAATATAAGTTAAAAATTGCCTTTATTTTAACGATTAATCCTAATAAATCACATGACTTAACGGCTCACGGGTCCATATTTTTTTTGATTATCAACAATCCATTTTCTTCATTATAAATTTTCTAAAGATCTCATCGCCAATAAATACATTTCTTTGTTTAATATAAAATTTTCCAAAATTGATTGCTTTTAGTTTCATTCCTTTTAGGCAAGTGTTGTTATAAGTATTGAAATCCGTAATAAAATACGCAAGATAACTAAATAATTCGTCCAGATTTTTTCGTTGTAACTCATTTATCTCCAAATTATTATATAGCAATATATTATTTAGCTCAGTAATATCATTTTGTAAATAGATTGTAAATGAATCAACTAAATTATTTTTTTTATCATCCTCGATATTATTATTAGAATCAACTAAAAATTTTTTCTCGGTAATATCATTCTGATCAACTAAACCATTTTTTTTATTGTCCTCGATATAATTAGTTAAGCTGAGAAAGATCTTTAGCCCAAAGTTTATAGTAAATTCATGTTTTTATTATAATTTTTATTATAAACTAATTTCAAGGCTATTTTAAGAAAATATTTCCTATGACTAATAATGAAAAATCTTTGTAAAAAATTTTTTTATTTTTATCGTAGCATGCATATTGCCCAATACATCACGAGATTGCCTGATAGTCACATGCTACCTTTAACCTATCAAAATTGTAAATTTGATTAATCCCAGATCAGTCCTATAATCGGTAGTAAATTTACCTATTTAGCTAATACATAAATACAATTATATATACAGGTATTACAATACAAGTCAACAAGGATTTAACTCTCTTTTCTTCTCTCAACATATGATTTTATGACTATATGACAAAGGGATTAATTATTTAGCGAACTAACTTCTACTACAGTATATTTGGTTTCGAAGTTTTAGAGCTAAGTGAGCTGCTTTATTACAGATTAAAATTCGATTGAAAAGAATCTTTACTAGATCCTTAATCCGAAGATCCTGCAATATTTATTGGTTCCGAGCCTGCGATTGTCATTTGATATGCGACTGGAAATGGTTTTTTTGGCATGTTTTTTTTGTCCATGATGTAATGAACAGTGTTGGCATTTGAACTAATTAAATAATATGGGACATAGTCATTTTCAATTGGACATATTCATTTGGACTATGTCCATATTTTTGATACTGGATATAAATGAAATTTTCGGTGTCTACTAACAATTTATTTTTAAAATGTCGCAAGGAATGCAAGAAATTCTATTTAAATCGAAGAAGAAACATCAGAAGAGTTGGGAAAAAGATTCAAGGAGTTCTGTAGCAAGTATTTGAGAAGCATTGTACTGTTATTGATCTTGTCGGGTAAGTTAGCTTATTGAATAATATATCGAGTCATTATGTATCTACAGTTACGCTATCACATCGATGTAAATTATCTGAGGATTGAAAGCACATCGTGGCCACTATTTCAGCAGTAACCGTTCTTCTCAGTTATCGATGTCTGGAAATGGAGTAGCCTATAGTTGTTAGACGAAACCATGTCATAAAATACGAAGACCTAAAACTTTAATCTAGTTTTTATTAAGTTTTGATGTGTGACAATTAGCATCACATGGTTTCATCTAACAACTATAGAGCAGCCCTACTGGTTTTAATAATGAATAGGAAACATGCTGGCCCCAGCTTCATATGACGATGAAATATATATTCATTATTTATTAATTTATAGGAAAAGTGGAGATCTAGGACGAGACAATATTATAACAATTTTTAGGATAAGAATCATTGTTCAGTACAAAGCGTGGTATTCTTACTAATCACAAAAACAACAATTATCAATATAACAATTTTCTTTATAGGTAAAATCTTATATTTACTTTGAAATCGAACATTACGATTTCTTTGCAGTTGTTTTTTTCCCAAAGATCCGAAGATCTTGCGATATTTATTGGTTCCGAGCCTGCAATCGTCATTTGATATGCAACTGGAAATGGTTTTTTGGCATGTTTTTTTTTCCCCGTAATGTAATGAAAAAGGGTGATAGTAATATAAATGAAAGTTTTCAGTGTCTACTAACAAAATTTATTTTTTAAAATGTCGCAAAAAATGCAAGAAATGCTATTTGAACGTATTGAAGGAGAGACATTGCAAAAGTTGGAAAAAAGATTTGAGGTGTTCTGTGCCAAGTTGCTGAAAGTATTTGAGAAGTATGGTGCTGTTATTGATCAT